ACCCTAAGATGCAGCTTGGGGGTGAGGGCAGGGAGGTAGGGGTAGGGAGTTTATGCAGGAGAGCTTGCCTGGGCAGTGTAGGTGCAGACCACCCTCCCCTGCCCCATCCGGCCTGCAGCTGCCCCTATGTTGCTCTGCATGGGTCCGAGCCCTGCCCGCTCTCGCCTATGCCTCACTCCTGCCTGCAGCTGCCAACGGCTTTGGCCCTGGCCCTGGCCAGTGCACACAGCTTCCTGGCAGGGTGGCTCTCAGTGCCTGGTGTGGCTTCCCTCCAGTGGCTCTTCCTCCTGCCCCTGCTGTGCTGCACTGGACAGCAGGTAGCACTGGGAAGTTGCAGCAGTGGCTGTTGGGGATGTGTGCTGGGTACTACATGCCTAGCCAGGCAGGGAAGGTAGCTGGGTGGCTCCTGCACACTGGGACAGGAACTGCCCTTGTCTGGCTGGGCATGTGATGCCCAGCACATGTTACCATGGATGCCACTGTCACTTCCCTGTGCTGTTTGCTGCCTGGAGCAGTGCAGGAAGAGCTGCTGGAGCAGGGGTGGGGGGTGGGCAGCTGAGCAGTACCTAGGTGGCTGCAGCTGCACCAGGAGCAGCCCCACCAGGAAGCTGTGCATGGTGGCTAAGACCAGGGCTGTTGTCAGGAGCAGGCGGGGCTTGATCCCATACAGAGTGCTGTGAGAGAAACTGTGGGCAAGATGCAATTGATTTGCAGGCATCCACCTGTGGGCCAGATCCAGTTAGTGGGCCATATTTTGCCCACCCCTGTAATGGACTCTACTGCTTTATTGCGGCCAGTGTGTATTACTTCTGGTGGAAGAATACAAGCAGCCTGAGCTGCATGCACTCTGCATGCAAGCACAGGGGTGGAACCCCTGGGGGATTCCACCTGCCCTGCAACATGGGGGTCATATTGCAGCACAGATGATAGTGTTCCACCTAGGATGTCTATTTCCAGCCTTATTGCCAGTGCCACCAAATTGCTGTCAATGTCCCAGCTTCACTGGCTGGATGAAATTGTTTGGCTGGCTGAATCTGTCATATGAGCTGTAGGTTGCTTATCCCTGTCCCTGATCCATGTACTAAATCCCAGAGTCTGCATCCCATCCCTGTGTCTTAAATATCTCATCACAAAATAGTTCATATGAACTACAATAGTATCCTGAGATCTAAATTTTGTAGCAGTAGTGGCAGGTAGGTTCACCCTCCTGAGCATATATAGGGGCAATACACTCCTGGGTTGTCAGGAAACACTCTGGAAGACTGGGCAGGAAGAAACCTGCCTGCTGCTCTTCCTGGCTGAACCCAGCTTCTATCACAGCCCAGCTGAAACAGGCCAGAAGTGGCTTTGGGACTCCCCTAGTCCTCATGTCAGCTGGGGACTGTGGCAGCGGTAGGCAGTGGAGAAGGGAGATACCAGTGAGCTCAGAGAGAAAGGAATTCTTGCCTGCTTTGGGGATTTTTAAAAAATGTTCCCAGCTGCTTCTCATACACTGTAGTCCAAAAGGTGGGTACAAGCACACCACAGTACCCGTCTGGAGTTGCCCATGGAAAAGACACACGCACACACACACGTGTGTGTGCATGTATATATGTCTATATCTATATAGATACATATGTATCTATGTATGCCTCTGTATCTATATCTATATAGATACACAGCTGTACTAGTCAATTGCTTGTCAAGTATGACGGGGGTGGGGCAGGGAGCAGGCGGGGATGGAGCCCCGTGTCTCCCCCCATCCGGGCCCACTTCTCCATTACTTCCTGCTGCTTGGGGTCTGGGCCTGCTCCCCCACTCCCCACTGCAGTGGTGGGGGGAGGGGAGGAGTAGGCCCGGGACCGATTTCAGGGGAGGACCGGGCCCAAGGGTAGGGAGAAACCATCTTGCCACGGCAGGGGGAGCAGAGGGGCCTGGCTGACCTGGTGGTGGTGGGGGAATGGGAGGAGCGGGCTCGGAGTTGATGGGGGTGGGGGGAAAGGAGTGAGCCTGGGCCCAAGCTGGGTGGGGGGGAGGAGGCTCACTCCTCCCCTCCCCCAGCTGCTACCATGTCAGGCTGCAGCAGCCT